GGAATGTGGTCATGATGATAATGAACAAGGGCTCCACATGCCTGAAACGTTGATGGGAGATGGTTGTTGGATCTTTAACAGCTGCTCTAGAAATTAGATGTTATCAAAGATCTGTTTGAAAGATTGAACTGGATGAGAAGCACACAAAACTTAACCAGTAAGACCTGGTTTCAATTTTTAGTAGCACTACCAAAAGGCAGAGTGGCACACAAAATGTTTATGTTGTCAATAAATTGGAAGGTACAGTTTTACAGCCAACAAAATGCTACGTTTATTCTGCTGCAAGAGGGAGGCAGGATTGCAGCAGTCTCTACACATAAAAGTCTCTACTTTTTCCCTATTGCTTTCAAATTAAGTAGATTAATGTGCCAAGAAAGCATTACAATATGTTAATCAGGTATTTGATCTGGTCTGTCAAACACTCAAAGAAAAGTCAGTTACTTCCTGGAAACCACATAATGTTCCAAATAAACCAAGCTTTTTAAAGACTCTAGATTTCTCTGAGGGGGATGATTTACTTATCACTAGGATGATTTGCCTTTGGACTCTTAGTATCTGTAACAGCCTTATTTAAAGGTTGAAAGCCAACAGCATTACAGGAGAGACCCTGAGTGAAGGGCACAGATAGATACGGATGGCAATATAAAACATGCCACCTTCAACTTTTGGAAGCTTTACTACTGAGTGACAGCTGCTGTGTGATTGCTGTTCAGCCAGAAGTAGACAGGAAAATACTCTGAATCTAAATGCACGACCTGCATGACTGCTATTATTCCATGTTTTTGACTGCTTAAATTCCCAGTTGGTGGACATCAACACAGTGCTCTCAGTTTTCTGGCATTAAGATACAAGTTTGAGCTATGTCAACCTTAAAGTGATCCACAGGAAACTGAAGAGCAAAAATAAAATCTGTATGAAATCATTGTGTCTACTTCACACACTGCACAACCCTTTCCTATGGGGCCCTGCTTTGATCCCTGTTTGTGCTGGCCAGCTCTAGGCTCCCCAGAGCAGAAAGAGCTGCACACAGATGTTACACTGCTAAACAGCTCATCATGGAGGAAACCAGATCACTTCTCCTGTAGGAAGATCAACAAAGTGATTTTGTCACAAAAAATCTAATCTGGCTGTTTTCTGAGTCAGAATATGGGACACGTTTCTAGCAGAAACCCCTTTGAGCTGCAGTCCCTCCCGAAATTTTCCCAGATACCCAAATTTCATTCACTATTAAATAGCAAAAGAACTTCTCAAAAGGATTGCTGGGCTAGTAACCTATCACATTCTACTGAGGACTCACCCATACAGAGCTCAGTGATCCCTGTGTGTCTTCTATAGAGATTTCCCCTAGGGAGTCATTTGTCTGGTTCAAAATGGAGAATCTCTGCTCTTACTGGAAAGACTTCATCTTACAGGACAATTTATAGCAGCTTTTGTGACATAGACAGGAAACAAAAAATATCTTTTAGAAAACTAGAGGCACAAATAAACTACTTGGCAGAGAGGATTAAAGGGGTAGCCTCCCAAGTAGCCCTAAGACTTATGCTCTTTTGTTTAAATTCTGTGTTCCCACACACTAACAAATCTAAAGCATACAAGATTACAGTAGGGAGTAGGGAATCCAGGACAGCTCTTTAAGATTTGCCAGTTTCAGGACTCTACATGCTTACAATTTAACCTAATTAAAGCCATAAAATTATAATTGAATATGGAAATGTACTGGCTAGAAAGTGAATCTGTCACAACCTCAAATCATTTCATTTATTATAATTCTGAATTCCTGCCCCATTATGAAACATGTGCAGCACTGTATCCCACACTGACAAAGGGGCACCCTACAGATTCAAATGTGGTGTCATCTCTGAACTGTATTTTAAAAGGCGGCTTTGAAAGATACCAGCAACAGTTGGGTTTGTTTCCCAGAGCCCGATTCTTCCTGCCCAGCTGATGCCCGCCTGGCCAGCAGGAGCACACTGCTCATGGGGGGATTGAGCACACTCGTCCTCACCCCAACAGCTCCTTAACTCCTGGCTACCTTCTGTGTGTGCAGACCAGTCAAGAACTGAAGTATCCTTTTAAACTGTGCATATTCTGCTGGCAGAGTCTCAACAAACTGATTTAAAAGCAGATCCATAGCAATCAGACTGAAGTCGTTCCTGGAAAACTCCACAGGAAATAAAAAAAAAAACAAAAAAAAACCCAACAAAAACAAACAAAAAAAAACCCAACAAAAACAAACAAAAAAAAACCCAACAAAAACAAACAAAAAAAAACCCAACAAAAACAAACAAAAAAAAAACAAAACAAAAAAACAAAAACCAAAAAACAAACAACAAACAAACAAACACACAAACATAAAACCAAAAAAAAACCAAAAAAAACCAAACCAAAACAAAACAAAACAAACAAAAAAAAACCCAACAAAAACAAACAAAAAAAAAAACACCAAAAAAAACCCACCAAAAACCCAAACCCTAATTAATTAACAGGGGTAGCAAATCAAGCAATATACAGATATAGGGGGGGATATTGTAACACTGCAGGTGGCTTTAATTTGATTTACAAGAACACTTGGCATCAGTTCAACCATGGGTTCTCTCACATACCTTGGATCATACTGAGCCAGCTTCTGCAAAAAATTACTACAAAATCCTTTCAAAATAAAAAAACTTTTGCAACACACACAATGTACATTTGACTGTGTACCTTAGTAAGCCTACAGTACAAATGGCTTCTTACTAAGAACTCTAAATAAACTGGGATACAGAATATAGCATTTGAATCTTTTTTTCTTTCTGCTCTGTTCTTAACCAGGTAAAATCTCCTTCTATTGGAAGAGCTCATCACTGAAAGCATGGTCAAACTTCTATACAAAATCTCTGGGTTTTACTGCTTTCCTGGCCAAGGACTTTCTGCACAGCAGAAGAGAAACATTCCTGCTTGCTAAGGGCCCTGTGAAAGAACAGTATCTGACTAAAAATATAATCACAAAAGCAAGCATGGTATAGACCAAGAACTTTGGGTTTCGTGCTTTTTCTGTCCATACTTACAGCAATAAGATGTTTAATCTGACTGTATTTGAAAACTGCAACAGCATATTCAGCTTTTTTTTTTTTTTAATGACAAATTAAAATCACATTGGAAAAAAGGCTGAGACGTGATATGGTGGCAACACCATCCTTACCAAAGGCTTCTAAAATTGTTAGAGATGACAACACCCCAAAAAGCAAGCATAATTAGTCTATTTCTTACTATAAAACTTTGCTTTGTGTCACTTTGCTATGTGATGATGCAGATGGTAAAAATAAATTACTTTAATGAAAAATAGTAGAATCCCAAAATGCAGTCAAATCAGTACAGCTGTATCCAAGAATTTTGTGGCACAGCATAGAGATTTCTATACTGAAAAATGAACAAAGCAAGAACTAATTTAGCTATACATTACACAGTTACTAAAAATACAAGCAGCAATCTCAAGTAAATGCTAGATCCTTCAGCAGTTAGACAATATTTTATCATTTTCTTTATTAGAATGAAATGATCCACAATAACTTGTCCTAAATTAATTTTTAAAATGCAAAAGACATGATAAGCTATCACCAGTTCAAAAAGAAGCTGAGTAAAACCAAATGATCTTTGTGACTATCAGCCTTATTTCTATCAAGCAAAAAAACCCCCCACACACACAAAAAAAAATGGAGAACCATAAAAAGAAACAAAACAAACTAAAAAGGAAAAAACCAAAAATCTAATGAAAGGTGTACAGTTTTTCAGTATGAGCTCTGGAAAACCACTCATGCACTAGATTGAACAATTTATTTCTAAACTCTTTCCTTCATACATGATGACTTTCAAAAGGTTTTGATATAAGTAGCACAATCAGAACTAAATGGATCCAGGTATTCGTGTGTGTGTAATGCAAACCCCCCAAATTTAAAATAAATATTGCTGCTAACATGTTATATAGAATAAATGACAATTTTATTTTTAAAAAGTGAACAAAAGCATATTGTATTTGTTAAGATGGATAAGCATTTGCAAAAAAGAAAGATCTGTATTCAACACATTACTAATAACTAACAATGAAATAGAATGGGCATTGCCTATGCATAAACAAACAAGTTTTTGGTCAAAAAATAAATATTATTTAAGTACACATTGTAAATCACATATATTTAACGGAATGTACTATTTTTAAAAACATAACATAACATATATCTACAAAACTAATTAGAATTTACAACTGAAATGAAATCAGGAATTGTTTCTTGTACTAATCCTGCATCAGCTGAATATTTACCTGTGTTTTACTTGAGGCACAAGTCAGTCTTATTGAACAGCAGCTCTTGAACTGAGAAAAATACTTAAATATCTCACTGGAGCTGCATCACCAGGGTATATCAGCACATTCAGAGCTTAAACTATACCTGTATCAGGGCTATACCTATACCTGTATGAGTAGGAAAAAATTTTCCTACTCATATTTATAAAATACTACTATAGTGTATTTCTGAGCATAATGATGAGATATAGAGGAAAATGGCTGGATGGGACAGCCTTGTGGTGGCAACTTTCCCATGTAGTGTAGGGCTATAGTGGGGCTAAACTGCATGGGAAAAAAAGGGAAGGAACCTAATGATCTTAATTTTTGCCTGTTTTAATAGGTTAGATATCATTGAATTGAAAACCAATCTGTGATCACCTGCATTTACCATGGACTAAAAGGACCCAGATAAGATTTTACAGGCCAGGACATTCACAGACCCATTTTGTGTGTATAACCCAGACATACCCACCTGCTTCTGCTCTCATGCACTGGCTTTTGCATGGCTGTAGCATGGATAACACAATGCTCAGGAACATCAACTCCATTCCCCATGTGCCCAGCCAGTAGGACACACAGCCATGGCTGACCTGTTTCTCCTGCCCAGAGCAGATGTTTTCCTAGGGAAGAATTCACATTATAAAATGTAATCTGTCAAAATAACATAAGGCCTCAACAGCTTTGCCTCCAAGAAGAGTGGGAGCCCAATCTTGACAAGTTTCTCTACTATAAAAACAGATTAAAGAATTCAGCCAAACATTGTTACATATGCATCTTTCAAAAACTGCACATAATTCTGTATGCTCTGGTTCTTGATCACTGACTTCTGTAGGCTGTTCTCCAGCTCTTTCAAATGTACTTCATGGTGCTTTTCATTCTAATGAAAAAAGAAAAATGCATAGAAACTTAGAAACAAAATATAAATCAATGAACATAATAATCTGAGATGCAAAGTACCTAATTTTTATAGCTTTATTTACCTGTAAAAGTTTTCAGAGGCTCCACAAAAGCAAGGCTAAAAAAAGCTTCAAAGGATTGAATCTTTTATTTATGTTCTGTCAGGACTAAACCACACGTGTTTGGATAGACTCAATATCAAAAAAGGCCTACAATAGTTTATAAAAATTATAAATTCAGATTACTGTCATTAACCAGGAAAGAAAAAGAAGCTATCACTACATCATTATGGGATTGTTATGCATCTAATCAAATGTAGATATGCTTACTGAACACAATTGATCTGAGGGAAATTACAACTTCAGACTTTTTTTTTTGTCTTGCGGGGAAAACTCAGCTGAGTAAAAGTTGTAAACTCAATGTTATTCAAGTGATTTAGTTAGACTGGACATCTGTTAGGTTGATGGGAAATGTCAGTGTATGAAGTATATTGTCAAGTTGAATTAATTTACTGCTCTGAAAAGTGTGCCTCAAATGTGTTTTCAGTAAAAGGAACTTGTTTTTGTAAATGGTGACATGGTAAGTGATTTCTTAAATCACAAACAGCATTATTTACTCACATGGTGAAATAAGCAGAGGAGTTGGTTTTTTTCTTCTTGCCTCTTTCTCACTTCAGCTTCAAGAAGTAACAGTTTTGTCTGAAAGGCTTGTTCTTTGTATGACATTTTTTCCCATTCTTCAGCTACCTATAAAAGTAATGAGAGAGAAAAGATATATATGTGTTATATATATATATACACACAATATATTTATAAATATATATGTATTACATATATATTTACTCTTAAAGCCCAAATAAAATTATTTTCTTATCTCTTAAAATTAATAGCTCTATTTCCTATTCCTTAATCTAATACTTAATTTATTTCCCATGCCCAGGGCTTAAACAAAACTGAGAAATATTCTGGCTAAATTTGAAAGCTGTTTCAATTTGGAAAAAAAAAAAAAAAAGTAATACAGTGGGAGAGAAACACTTTTTAGCTTATTTTTCTCAAAACCAAGAAAATATCCTCAGTAGTGAAAAAAATCAGATGTTTATTTCTACATTTTTAGTCTGAAATTACAACTTCATACATTTTTTCTGATTAAACTAATATAATTCACTACAATCTAAATTCGTACATTTCCTCTTGAATTTGATTAACTGTTTGCATAATTTCAACAAATGATAAAATTCTGCTTAATATAGAAAGAATGCAAATTCTTAATCTAAAAAGAGAAGGATTTCAACACAAACGTTCTTGTGGGCTTTTATAACAAAGAAAAGAAAAGGTAAAATTAAGCTTTTGTATAGAAACTTTTTGCCATATGTGTGGGATTTACTATAAGGTGGTTAAAGAATCTTGATTTGTCAGTTTAAAAAGAAATTATAATAAAACATTTGTAAACTGAAACTTGGTATTTTTTCCCACAGTATCCAAACCTGACAAAGAAATTTAGTTGTTCCATCCTTATTTAAAACATGCAGAGAGTCACAGTAACTGTTTAGTGTTTCTCTCTACGTGCAAAATAGTCTCATCACATAATTTTTTCTCAAGCTCATTTTTAATGCTGTTTTTAAATAGAAAGTAGCAAACAAGATTGAGAGAGGTATTAAATCACCAATACCATCTTTCTCCCTTCTTCCAAAGCAGATTCAAGTTGTCTGGTCAATGCATTATATTCTGCAATTTTCTCTTCAAGCTGCAATTTGCTGCTCTGAAGACTCTCATCTTCTTTCCTGAGTTGGTAAGCAAGTTCTTCATTCTGATATTCCACCTGTCCTAATTGCCTTTATGCAAAACAGGTCAATGCATTATAATTCTCTATAGCAGAAAATGTAGGAATTAATTTTAATCAGATTTTTCAAGTTACCTTTGAAGATCATAATATTTCTTCTGAATGTTACAGATTTCTCCTTGTAAGCAAAGATTGCCCATAGGAGTTACACTATGGTTATCCTGTGAAAATGACAATTTGTTTCTAGTTGAAGAGACCTGTATACAGGATCTTACTGGAGAAAAGTAAGTCTGTCCATTAAAATCCAAAAAGAAATGTAATTGTAATTTCAGATAAATGCTATGTTCATTCAGACAAATGCTATACTATAATCAAATAAACGTTATCTTGTATTATTGTACCTTGTATAATTATCTTAAATTAGTAAAATACAGCTAAAGTTGGAGACTAAAATTTTGTGTGAACACCTTAAGGCTGAAAACCTGCTATGTAACAAAGTCCTAGAAAACTCCATGTGCTGCTCATGCAGCCTTGTGTATTAGGAGTTGGGCAGGTCTACCTGACCAGCAAAAAAGGCTCCCTCACACTACAGTCACAGGAAGTATAAAATAACACTGCATATACAAACAGTTATCACAGGAGAACAGTGCGGCACTGGCAAAGAATTTCAGAAAGAGGAAAATATCAAAAAAGACAAGTTCATGAAAAGAGATACATCAGCAGCAAGAAGACAGTCTTCTCCTGCCCAGCATCCAAAGTGCTAAACTTTTACATGTGTTCTTTCAAATCTCAGTAGCAATGAGATTATTGCTCCTTCTTCCACCCATCAACAGCACGATAGCAACAAACAGGCACATCAACAGCCGGTGGGTGCCATCTTCTAAGGGGTGACCATACCATTCTTTGGACTGCCTCAAGCAGTCCCATCCAGCAATTTGAGCCCATCTGCCTGATTGTGTTTATCAGAATTACAGGCTGTTCAGGTAGCAGCAGACTGGTGGTAGCAGAAATTAGTCCAGCTGAACCCAGGAGCAATTGCTCCAAAAGGAATTTTCCAAAATTCTGGTCATAGAGTCAAGGGTACAGTACATCAATCACAAAGACTTAATGCTGAAATTTAACTACTGTTCCACCAGACTAGTGAGTATATTTCCAATTATTTTGCTATACTTAAGAGGTTCTTCTGCATTTTTCAAGTAAACACGTAGTTAGATTAAAACTACATACGTAATTTTATATGATGTATAAATTTTGCACCTCAAAATTAATTATTGCTTAAGTACTTTAAGATTTAGGAGTTGATGAACATTCCTGGAAGAATCAAAAATCAAGAGCAATGTTTTATATAAAGTCTATAGGACCACAGAGATTCACAGTACTTCACCTGTAGTTTTCTTACTGACATAGCAGGATGATTAGGCCCCTTCCCCACCCCACTAACTTAAAAACCTTTGTCATTTGTGCTCTTCTCACTTAAAAGGACATTAAAATAAAGACAAAAAACAATAACAAAAAAACCCCAAACCTACCCTGCCATAGAAATTGATGTCAGAGAAAAAAAGAGTCCAGGAAAATTCATTTTGAGGCTTTAGAGAAAATACAAGCATTAGTGTTAAATACAGCTAAAAAATGCAATTATCCTATTAAAGCATATTTTAAAAGTACTTACTCAACTAAAACATTTTAAAATGTTATACATCATCAAGAATATAACTTATCTTATTAAATATTGTATGGCTTATAAATTTGCCATTAAAACAAAACCTAATGTATATTTAAATTATTCTACTAGATACAAAAAAAAAAAAAAAAAATCTAAATTTGCATTTATTTCCAGGGAAGAATTCTGCAATACATCTCAGGACATATGTATTCAAAAAGATCAAGAATATACTCATTCTAAAATTTACAAGTCTTGCCACATAATGAATTCATATAAAAACAGTTGGCAACAGTTTTATTTGCATTATCTAATTTCCACAGAAAATGATTTATGATTTATGAAGATTTTCACAGAAATTTTGATTTATGAAAAAAATAACAAAGGATACCTCACTACTGTCACACACACTAATAGTAAAATGCCCCAGTGACTTTTTTTCCACATAATTTTCTCATTTATCTTTAGAAATCAGCATGTTCTAACCACCTGAAGCTCCAGCTCCCTGAGGGTTTTGCATTTCTGCACATGGATCCTTTCCCAGGCCAGAAGCTTTTGCTGGTTTTCCTCAGCTGCTTTCAGCAAGTCACAAACATGTTCTAACTCCTTTAACTCAGCCTCCATTTTGTGCCTCACCTACATAGCAGCATCACAGGAGAAAAATGTAAATGTAAAATCATAAATTAATTGTAATACTTAATGGATTTTCATGTAGGTAATAAAGCTAAAATTCTGTAGAAGTTACATATCACCTATTTTATAAAAAACTGACAAGGATACAAGTCCTTTTCTGATGCTTAAGAATGTGCTGTCTCTTCCAGTGTTCAGCTCCATCTGCTGAAAAATTTATAACTCATCTCTGTATGGAGTCTCAATCTTAAATGTTAGTTAAAAAAAAAGAACTTACAATAGGTTTGCTTCCATATACAACTTTCACAACTGTTCTGTCAAAAAGATAGTTTGAAAATCACCAACAATAAAATCACACTTTTGAAAGTGATAAAGGAATTCTGGAATTCTAAAATAGTAGCCAAACTACTTAATAATTGTGCTAGGAATCATTGCTCAATTCTTTGCAATTGTGTAGTATCCAAAAAGCACCAGCTTTAGACAGCAGTCGGTAAAACTCTCAGAAATTTAAAACCAAGAGACAGTACCTTGTGACTTCTAACAAGATGACAAAAATATAGAAAAGATCTTGCCCTACAGAATTGTTTGGAAACATTCTTTATTACTGCAAAACTTACCTTATCTGCTTCTAAGCCTTTGTTTTCTATTATTTTTCTGTTTTCATTTAAGACTGTTTTATATCTGGATTTCAATTCTTCCACAGCAATTTGTCTTTTTTTAACCTAGGACAACATACATTTTTCACATACATTTGCAAGGTCCTTCATACCTCTGACTTCTAAATAGGATCTCAAAATTTGTCATTATTTGACATTTTTATTTTCATTATCCTACTTGTCACAGCAAGTACAAAAGGGTTACCAGGTAAAGAGCACTGTCATATCAGCAGTGGGCTACCAACAATGGAGAATGAGCTACAGTTGTGCTGTAGAAGCAGCCAGTACGACTCACACCTCTCTCCCCACATAACAACTGTCACTGACACTTCCCATCTGGAGTCACTACAGCCCTGAGCTAGGGAATTACTCTCCATTCAATGCTTAAGGCTGGCTGTTAACTGGAACTACATCTACCATCTTAAAGCTGGAAGCAACTTTAGTTGTGATGATGCATTCCAAAGACAAGGCTCTCTGGCTCTACTCTAGATTTTGTATCATGTCTTTCCTTTCTCTTGTCAGTGATTAAAATAAATCAGTAAGTGAAGAATGTCAGTGAAATTGTGTCTATACTATAGTATAAATAGATACATATTTGAATCAATGTTCTAAAACTTCTGTGTGAATAAAGACAAATACAAAAAATGAATTTATAAAAAGCCCATTATAAGTTTGGTTTGCTTGTTTTGCTGGTATTTCTATGTGGATTTATCCACTGAGAGAAAAGAACTCGTATAACCCTATACTCATAACCCTAAGACATATTTCTTGAATGAACCTGAATTTCTTGAACTTACTTGAATACTGATACACTCTCAGGAACATGAAGATAAAATATGGCCAAGTAGAGGTAAAATATCAACAGTATATCCACTTAAGACACCAGATGCAAACTTTTAAAATATCTAGTTTATTGGGTCACTAACCCGCTTTTTAGCAAGCCAATCTTGTCAAAGCAATCTTGTCTTGTTGGCTTCAAGTGGGCTTCACACAATTCAGTACAGACAATGTGTATTTGTAATTCTGTGGAGACTATTCTTCCATATGGTCCATATTCTTCTTTCCATATGAAAGAAGCAATTTCTTCTTTCATATTCAATATTACAAAAATATTACAATCCCCATGACAACAAGATGGATTTATGACAAACAAAACCTTTATCATTTCCTCAAAATGGCTTACAATTTAAAAAAAAAAACATACTTGAAGATTCAAACATGGTAAGTCACCTCATTTTTATGCTGTTCTACAAGGTTTTCCTGCAGCTTTGCTTTTTCTTGTAGATGAAGCAATTCATATTCAACAGATACTGTACTTTTCTCCAATATAGCAAGGGAAGCCTTGATCAAAACCAGAAAATATAAAAATGTTAAGAGTGTTACTAAAATAATGCATTCTACAATATGATATTACTAGCAAGTAACTGGCTGGCACTAGGAAGTGTGGTATTTTTCCTGTCAAACAAAAAGGATAGTCTATAGTTCATTTGTCAGCTCATGAGAACACTTATATCAGATGGTCAAAACCTGCAAACTATTTCAAAATTGAAATTAATAACTGAGGTAAACTCAGTTCTTTAATTTGAAAGAAAGTTTAACAAACATAAAATAACAATTTCTACTTAAGCAGTTGTGGAATTATTAACAGTAAAATAAATAGTATCCTGATTAGCAGACAATCCTGTTCCTAGCTTTGCCATAAATTTCCACTGGAAAATTCAGTATCTCATTTGTCCTTACTATTATAAACAGATGCAAACCTTATTCTGCAGGTCTGGGGTCCCTAAACAGAAGGTCCAAAGAGAATTAATGTTGTTACTTCATTAATGTATGAGAAATGTAGAGCCATTCAACAGTGATTTATAATCTCACCTTTAATTTTTCGTTTTCAAGGTAAATCTTTTCATTTTCAGAGTTAATGGAATTTAGCTTTCCAAGAATTTCCTCTTCTGAGTTTCTTCTCCATTCCTCCCTTCTTTCCACGTCTTCCATCAGGCCTCTGATCTGACTTGTAAGACAGGCAAGTTCTCTATGACACACAATGCTTCCAAAACTCTCAGTATGAAAATGAAATCAAACATTAACACATTCTCCTTCATTGTATGTGTATATATATATATAAAAGGGGGAATGCATTTACACATCCAAAGAAAGGATTATCTACTCATATTCTGAAATAAACTCTCTGAAACAGAAGAGTTTCTCCTCTTCTTCTTCCAAGGAACTTGTATTAGCTCAATTATAGAACACCAAATGATACTTCCAAGAGAACTTTGTATATGCACACTGTACAAAATGTAACTATATTGAATTTATAGGGTATATCACATAATGCCCTACTAAGAACACTCCTTAGCTACTTTAGGAATGTTGCTTTCCATTATTAAAAGCAGCAAATTATGCTATGCCTCATTTTTTGGAGCTTCTTTTGGTTAATAAAGTTCACAACATTTGTTTTGCTGTTGACAAATAAGTCTTGTTAGAATGGCACATTTCAAGCAAAGACTTGTATTTTCAGCTGAAATGAAAACAGCAAAACCCAGCTGGAAGCAGAATAGTATTTGTTCTTTCTTAGATGCCATCCTATGTACACTGGACCAACAGTGGGCTAGACAGATTTCTGGACTGATGTCATCTACCCGTTCTCTGGTTAAATTTTAAAATATACTGCAAGTATTTTCAGAAATGTCAGATTTTCTGAGGCAAATCCAAAATATTTAAGTAATTTTAATGTGAGCTGTTAAATACTTGAGCATGAAGCAAGTTCTTTGTGAAATAAACATTTCCTTAGACCTGGAATAAAGACATCTAACAGTTTCTTTTGCTGGTTTAAATCACAGTCCATATTTCTAACAACAGAAATGGTAAAAGGATATTTGTCATTGCCTGCCCAAAAAATAACATATCCCTCACTTAAGGATAAGTGAAGATTAAGATTTGACTGTGTAGTTTGGATAATTTTATTCTGCTTTTCCTTACATGAGTGAACTGTTCTAATGGCATCTAAGAGGAACCATTCTCTATCCTCTACTGAGGTGAGACATTAGTGGAACTGAAATAATTTGGCCTTCACTAGTCAGAAGTAGGACCTAGAAGACAAAGAACCTTCTTCTATTCTGTAAACACAAGGGTTAACACTCAAGCTGTTGAATCAGTTATTAAATAAGTGGTTATGTGGAGGCCACATAGGAGCTGCCAGCAAGTTCAGGCTGATCAGAAGTATGCAGGAAAAAGAATATGTTCTTTACTGGCAAAGGGGAATAAAGCTTCAAAAGAAGTGAAATTCAACAGAGGGGAGGCTACAGATCTTAAGTTTGTTCATATTTCCAACTTCTAAATTCTGCTCAGAATTTTAAAATATTTAAAAACTCATTTACATTGTCAACACTGAGTATTGCACCTACTAAATATCAATATCCTGTGACGACAGAAATAAACAAACAAAAACGAACAACAGTCCAACTTACTTCTCAAGATCTTCTATTTGAACTTCTAACATTGTCTTTTCTTCAAATATTCTATCGTGACGGTTTTTCCAGACATCAGAGGCTGACAGTATCTCACCCAGTTTGACTTCCTAGAGAATGCAGAAATTACAAATTATGTAATGAAAGAATGCCACTGAAGAATGCCATTTAATTCTACAAATTTGTAGATAATAGAGATATTTAATATAAGATGGTTTTATTGAATCTCCCTTGTACAAATCAATATAAATTTTCTCTCCTCTCAAAATAAAATCAACAAAATTACCCACATTTTTTAAAAATCAGAGTCTAACTGTATACTTACTTTCAAGGCACAGACAGTTAAACAATGGTACTGTATATCAACTGTAGAATACAATACTTCAAAATTTAAGATGACAATCTTTTCTTACCAAAAAAATTGTCTTCAATACATCTCTACTACATATAAATTTCATCATTAAATAAATTAATAAAATTGTGCCGAAATATTTTAAGAATAAAAAATGCTAGCTAGGTGAGAAATGAAACATTAGGTAAAATCCCTTAAATGAAAAGAGATAATTAACCAATACAGGCTATCTTGAAAGTACACTAGGATTTCAATGAGGAAGGAAACAAGTGTGACTACAAAACATCAGAAGTTCAGGAAGTAGTTGCTGTCCCTCTGTACTGCTAATTTTAGTTAAAGATTCACTACTGTCTTCTCAAAAAGATCCAAGAATACAAAAACCATTATTAATCATCTCCTGGTACACTAAGTGGAAAAATATATCTTTAATACTGACATATCCAAAATAATTATAACACACCTAAGAGTATGAAAACATACTCTTCTTAGGAAATCCAAATAGGACAATAAGCACAGTTCTGATGCAGCTGGCCTTTTTGAACAATTACCAACTATTAACAGGCAACGCAAGGAACAACTTGGACTTGGATTTTGAAAAGGTTCAGAGCAAGCATCTAGGAAACTAAAAGCTAAGTAACCACATGAGACATCACACATTAATAAATAAAGAAAACTAACACTTCAAACCTCATGGATTCTCAGTCAGTACACTGTATTTCTGAGTGAGTCAGTGCTTATCCATAGAGGACTAATAAGAAGACGAGGAGAGGTTTAACCAAAAGCTGATGACACTACTCTTACTTCCTACAGCTTAAAATGTTCAACCTCTTGACTTAAGACAACCACTAAATTTTAACAAAACAAAAGCAGTTAACAGTAATAGCTTTCAGGATACCTATAGCAACCTTTTCCTTAACAATGAGCAACAAAACAAAAGACATACAAGCACAGCATAATCAAACAAATTTTTCTATTTTCCACAGTTGTTCAATTTCAAACAGTACAACACAGCATTGCTCACAGCATAGTCACTCACATGTTCTTTTATTTTAGAGGTTACATCTTTCACAGCTTCTTGTAAGCGTTGAGCTCTTAGTTTCTGGGTCCTTACTGCTTTTTCCAGAGCTATCTTCTTTTGCTCACTTGTCTCCTTTAAGGCTAACTTCTTGCACTTGTATTCACCAATTTGATGTTGCCACTCTGCTATTTTATTTTCTAGAGTCTGCAGCATAATTAAAATAAACTCTTCAAATTCCAAGCCTTACAGATAATTTTGTGTAAATAAAATAATTAGGAAGAGCTGTTAAATTTATAACATCTGTTTCCATATAATCTTGGTATCTCAAACCTTGTGGTTGATACAAGGAGCTAGCTAAGTACAACAGTCGACAAGAAAAGCACAGAGAGAAAGTCATTACAAAGATGAAGAGGTTGAGAAGGTGCAGGAGCAGGCAGGAGCAGGGGGAAAGACAGCAATCCAACCATGTCTGTGTGCTCTTGCAAATGAATGCAGAATTTCCACATAGGAGGCATGGTGATGTTAAACCTATTTATGAGGAGGAAAATAAAATGGTTTCATCAGACTATTTCTGTAAAGAATATCACCTTAATGATGTTACCAGTGATATGCACTGATGTATTATAGTATGTGCTGTGAATCTAGTGACACACACACTACCAGGTCCTGAGATAGGCTGTATGACTGTATATGAAATTTTATTATGAAAGTTAATATCTTGAATTTGTGTTTTTTTGAAATCAGGAGGCTAGGAAAGGCTGGGATCTTTTCCTAAGTATATGTATTATTATATGGACTGTGATTAGATTACAATATACTATTTTCTTGCAAGATCTCTGATTTTTTTCTGTGCATAAAATGGCCCTGCTTTATTAATGACATAGATTTGTTTAGTGAAGAAAGTATTTTTTATAAACAAGCAGAAATGCATTTTAATGCATCTAATAATACTATGAAAACATGTACAAAGCAGCCAAGATGGGAACTGGGCTCTGTGATGGCTATTATATTATCTTTTGTATTGCTGCTATTATTTCTGACTAGCTAGATGTTTACATCACTCTGATGAAGACTGATCCCATTCCATGCAGGAAGCATGCAGGAAGCCAATCTCTCTAACTTCATGACTTTTGTATTATTCATCTATATACCACATAAATATGAATGGAAAACAACTACAGACATTAAAACACTACATGATGATATTCATTAAGAGCAATACCAGACTGTTTCAAGGAGAATCTCAGATCCACTTATCAAAAATGCTACCAATAGAAAATTAGTTTCATAAAGACAAGTCTAAATCTTGTTCATATCTCTTACTATTCTTCCACCAAACTGCAGTAATGTAGGGAAGCCAGCAGTGTCAGCTTTCTCAGTTCAATGATAAATATCCGAATTGTGGGAATGATTAATGCATTTGCTTCCTCCTTTTAGCCTAGGTCTGACACTACATTACTACTACTAGTTAACTACTGAATCTGTGAATGTGCCAGCGTGATAAATATCCAAATTGTGGGAATGATTAATGCATTTGTTTCCTTCCTTTTAGCCTAGGTCTGACACTACATTACTACTACTAGTTAACTACTGAATCTGTGAATGTGCCAGCCTTATTCAAGATACTCACTGACAGCTGCTATAAAAATACGCATATTATGCATGAGGGGATATCTCTCAGTCCAGCTTCTGCTAATGGCCCCAAAACTTTTACACAACCAAAACAAAATGTTTGTGGTTTTCCAAATGAAAGAAAGATGGTCTCAGGTACTGGGATTCACCAAAAAGCAGAAGTACTACTTCAACAAAAAAGGAAATTATAAAAAGACCCAAATATATAAAAAGTGGTTTTGCTATATAAATGCTTACAGGGCACCTCATTTACAGAGATGTGACTTAAGGTGGTGGATAAACACTTTCAATAAACACAGCAAACAAAATTTCAGTCTGTGAATGAATTTCAAGTGTCAGTATAAGTCAACAGCTGCTATCCCCTGTTATAACCACAGGAGGTCAGAATCACACTAAGAATAAGTGCTTCGGGAATTAGTGGTTGAGATAAATTCGAATTGAGAATTAATTTCATATTTTTAAGCTTTTACAAGCTTTTGTCTAGTTATTTACAAAACCATCTCCAGAATTTAAGCTAGCAAAAGACTTCAGCAATTTCTGAAAGTGAACAAAGCTTTTAAATAGAGATTGAATGACAATACAGCTGCATATTAAGTTATTTTATCTAATGAAGATGTTGTTGGAATTCTATAATTGTCCTGGTAGAACAAGAAAGCAATTTTTATTTAGAAGAAAACATAAGGCATTTATGCAGACATAGACGTGATTTGAAATTGCCTTGATACAGGTTGGGTAAACATCTCAAATGATTCAATTAGCAGGGGATGTATGCTAGTAAAAAATTTTGGAAATTAGAAATACATTGTTTTTAGCCAGTGTTTTCTCATTCATGTCTATGTTCTCGACAAGTTTCATATACTGTATTCTGAGGCCACATACAGCTCCAGCCTTTTACACTTGACCTCCTCCTTGCCTTTTTCTGAAGCCAGTAACTGATTCAAACACCCAAATTTAACTTGTTCTTTTTAGAACAGAAAATGGAAATAATTTAATCTACTTTAAACAAACTGAGATTAGGCATTAGTCTTAAGTGTTTCACTTTCAGTCAGTATTAAGAGACTTATCGATTCTTCACAGACAATAAGAAGAAACAGGGTGTGGCTGTCACTGTTTTTTTAGAATAGGAAGTCACCATAGGGACTTGCTTATCTCTTGACCATATGGAGACTTTCTTCTAGACAGCACAGTTAAGTGAGTGCAAACACTTCTATGCATGTTTCACTTTGCTTCACCAGAACTGTTCAAGTGTGCATAAGTTGAGAAAACTAAAAAAAAAAAAAAACAACAAGCAACCTTGCAATTCAAATAGTGGTCAGGCAGATCTTGCAAAACATAAATGTTTATGATTTTAACTGTTTGGGATTTTTCTTCTGCCAGTAGTTTGATTTCAAAACAGTCCACAGCAAGGCTTTATTTTTGTTGTTGTTTGTTTTTTTTCTCCAAGAAACTGAAACACAAGTAAAATATTTTGACCTGTATTTTCACTTTTAATTCATAATTTTCTGCTTCTTTTCTTTCAATCTGACGCTGCAGGTGAGCTTGTACTTCCTTTACTGATCTTGAGAAGCGGTCCCCTTTCTGTATTTTGATCTAGGAAAGACAAACACAAATTTATTGGACAATGCTGTATGATGCTTTCTGTATTTTTTCTACTCTACTGTAGTTTCTGACATTTGAATGTCCTCAAAACCTGGAAAAGATAAAACATGCTCTACAAGCGTATTCACAGGCAGTAACTTGCTACTAACTGTATTAATGTTAAACAGAAATCACCAACTTGAAACCTTTTATGTATAATTTTACATATAATATTTAATCTGAATTTACGTAGCAGGAAAAAGGCCTGGAAGCATGAACTCAGGCTAAGGAAAGGCATCCAGCTAGCAGGATGACTAACACTAAGCCACACTGATCAGCTGTGCTCTGACTAATTAGACCTGAACTGATCTTCATTGAATTCCAAAGACCACCATCTCCTATTAGAACTATTGATACATTTAATTCAAACTCTAATTTTGGGGGATATGTAAATCATAAGGGAAGAGGAAAATTATGTCACCAGCACTCAGGTCAGATGATTCTATGCAATTTCTTTCAACTTGATTTCTTTGGCTCATTCTAAGTAAGAAGTAATAGGGTAGATAAGTATTGTATTGTCAGTATAGACTGCAAAAGACTAAAATAATGTAACAGTGGAAGTGTTCATTATAGACACCAGTAAGAAAGGCAGATTCACTCAAGTGTTGATGAAAATGCCATGTATTGAAATTAATGTAAGGAACAAGGGAATAGCATAGGAAATTATTTATCCTTTCAGATGCTAGGCACCCTAAATTGTTCAACATTAGGTAGTCTCCAGTCAGGGAGACTGGTATGCCACATAGATCCCATCACCACTGAGGTCTGCTGGCATTGGGGTCTTCAGAATTTTTATAGGCTTTTCTGTTCAGCATTTCTGTTCTATAGCAAAAAGATGCTTCCATGAAAATGTGCTCTTTCACTTCAAGATGAAGACAAGGACATGACGAGAGCCCTCAAAGGCTCCTCTATTATGGTTAAGTTTATTGAGCAGCCATGTGATATGTTCATTTGGTTAAGCAAAAAAAAAAAAACAAAACAAACCAAACTCTTAAAGAAAACCATGTCTCTTAAAAACCTGCAAGGAGTTGCAAATATCAAAGTACACTGCTGTCCCCTGAAAGGTTTAACTGAGCCTATGCTGTCCCTCACCAATGCTGAACCATGCTGCATGGCACACACACCAAGTGCCCTGGAGGTATTCAGTCTGTAACACAGATTGCCAAACCACCAGTAAAATAACTTTCCAACTTTTACAGTACCCTCTTATACAGGACAATTCTTCCCTTTCAGTGCTGGCTTTTGCACTGAACCCCTTCAGAATGAATGACCTCTTGCCAGACTTGTCAGCCTTTGATGATATTAGCTCTGTTGTCTGAACTACCTTTCCTAAAAGAGCCATGGAAACCAACTGTGAACAGTATCTGTTTAGCTTACTCCATATTATTCATTATAAGTACATTTTCCCCACACTATTGCGAATCAGTAAATGAGAAGTCAAAAGCTACCTTAGGATATTAGTGTTAAGAATAACTGTACCCTTATTTGTATAACTATATTCTTATTTGAATACAGTTGTGATGGTTTTAAGATAATTCTGTAGGAAACACCTTTCAGGATTTTAGTTTTTTCATAGGTCTTTGAAATAATTGTTTTACTCAAAATTTATAATTTTTCTTAATTGGGAATCTAGTATGTTTGAACAAAATATTCAGTCTAATGGAACCGGTCACTCACTTTTTCACACTGGAGCATAGATGAAAGTTCTTTAATCTGTTTCTCCCTTTCAAGTATTTTTTTCCTGAGATTCTTCATGGGAAAAAACCAACAAAGAAATTATTTTAATGTCTGTATACAACAAAGCATCAGAAATGCACAGTGATGAACATTTCAGATGTAAAACTAAGATTTCAATGGTAAATCACAAATACTCCCACTTTGCCACTCTCACCAGAAATTTTATGACTCTACAAGGTAGCCAATTTCAGATATTCAGCATAGAACAGAGAGAATCAAACTTTAATTTACTTACAGTATTCTGAATTTCACTTTCACTTAGCTCCTGCATCCAAGTGTCAATTTTTTTACTGTTTAACTGCAACACAGAAAACATTATAAATTTCTTCTGATTATAACTGATTTTGTATTTTTCAATGGTTTTAAATTGGCTACACATAGTTTGCTATATTTTTAAACCTGGTACATACGACTAGAAAAGCTCACACACTCACAAGTTACTTGGTGGTCAAAAACTAAAGAATTTTCTTAGTGCACAGGACATAACAAAAAAAATCTTCCCACAATGTGGGAGAAGACTATATGACTACATGTTTCTTTCAGACTTGTGTAAGAAATGCACATTTCCATTGATTCTGTGTTTATGCCTTACATGTTTTCTTACTTGGTGTTCTAGACTGTCAGATTCTTTGCTCAGATCAGTAAAATACTTCCCATCTTGGATGGCTTTTGTAGTTCTGTGACAATCCTTTTTATCTGGCTGAATCAGTGAACAGAGTTTTCCTGTTTCTCCAGGTGGCACACATGTTTGTCCCTGAAATAGCATTCATAATTATGTAACATTCCATTTCACTCCCAGTTAGGTCACTTATATTGCTAATTCAAGGATATCAACATAAAACAAGTCAGCTCCTCCAGAGAATCCTTTAAGAGAAAGTTTAAAGATCAAAGAATCATTTAGGACTTTCAACAAGGATAAAAGCCTGCCATGCCACAGGATGCACCCTCAGATAGTTTGCTCACAGAACACAGCTAATCCACAAGGCAAAGGCAGACTACCTCCAGTGAAGGTGAAGGCCAAGACCTGCTCAGATTCCAATGTTGCTGTTTTGCACAACAGACTTCTTCCAGTTTGGAGGCAGCAATGGCTCTCCTCTTTTCCCAGTTTGGAAAAGCTTTTCACCAGGCCCAGCTGCTCAAGAAAATGATACTGCCCATGCCATGGCAAGTCCAGAGCCATATCAGACCTAAAACCTAAATGAATTCCATTCCCCCCCTTCCTTATCAGGCACCAGGAACCTGTCATTACCCTCACCCCTTCTCCAAACACCTCTCTCCTGCCTCTGCCCCAGCACTCCAGAATGACAGATGCCTTCACCAAGCACAAAGTTACCTGTTTACTCCACTCAATGCTCCACTGACTACTCATTATTTGTTCAGAAGTGGATTGTGTTGCCTTCTCTACCCACCAGGACCCATTTTTCCTGTGCTCAGTCTGTGCCAGGTGCATCTCCATCAAAAGGATTTGTCAGACTATGAGTTTCAGTCCTTATACCCATATTGCCTTTCATATAATTGAGAAAATGAGTAACAAATTTGAGAAGTTCCCATCTTAAATAATCACTTCCTCATAGAATCAGAATGCAGACTGCTCTGTTTCCACTTGTTGTCCGACAGCAAATAAGTACAATCAAACATCTAAGGTTTTTTATTTCATATGTGCATATATGTGTGTCTTGTTTTATTACAGGATTAGATTCCTGGCAGACCTCAACTTGTGTAACATAATGCAACTCTCTGTAGCTTTTTCCTGGATATACAACCAAAATCAAGTTCTTGAAATTAATTACTTCCAGTGAAAACAGCACCTTGGAAGATTAAACATCACGCTTGATTTATCATAGCCAATCGATGTAAGCAGAACAAAGAAGAATTTTGCCATAGTTTCAGTATCCTGTTGTTGCCATGTCCAGCATTGTCACTTAGCCAGTTTTTGAAATATCACCGCATCATGCTTGATTTATCATAGCAAATCGATGTAAGCAGAAAAGAACAAAGAAGAATTTTGCCATAGTTTCAGTATCCTGTTGTTGCCATGTCCAGCATTGTCACTTAGCCAGTTTTTGAAATATCAACACCGTCACATCTATAACTAGGAAGTATATTTTTAACTTTGTTAACAAAAAAAATACAATTTAAAATATCAAGCCTAACAGGAACAGAATGAACTTGCCTCAACAGTGTGAAGAAGAATAAACTTTTCCTGAAGATCAAAGTCCAAGGAAGGAGCAGTACAATCATGTACAGGTAAAGACAAGGATGCTTGTGATAATGATGACATTTTGATTTAATGCTGTATAACAAGACAATATATATTAAAATATATTAGAGTTCCACGAATCAGTAACTGAAATATTACTGGCAGGCCAGGTTGTTCCCACTACAGTTGGACTGCTGGACTGGACCAAGTAAATCCCAGTCACAGCAGAGATGTAACACAGCTAATGCTCCTGAAATCTTCCACAAGAATTCCCAATTTGCAATTGCTCAGCACTGAATTCACAAACAAGGTGCGCAGAAAGCAAATCCTTCCACAGCAGAAAACGGAATGCACTCGAAGGACAAAGTAAAGCTCACAACTGCTATTTCCCGCTTCCACGCTCCCCAGCACAGAGGGGAGGCTCAGGGGCACAGGTCACCCATCGCCAGCCCTCGCCCCGGGCCCGCTCGGGCTCTCACCTCACCAAAGGCCTCCGCGCCCGCTGCCGGCGGCTCCCGACGCGGTGTCCCGCGAGCCGCCCCCTCCAGCACCGGTCCTACGGGACAGTGTCCCCTCAGCACCGCTCCTGGGGGACAGTGTCCCCTCAGCACCTGTCCTGTGGAGCAGTGTCCGCTCAGCACCGCTGCTGTGGGGCAGTGCCGCTCCGCACTCCTCCCGCGGCTCCCCACCTGCGCCCGCCGCTCCTCGCCGCCGGGAGCCGTTGCCGGAGCAACGCGCCATTGCCGTTGCCGTTGCCGTTGCCGTTGCCGTTGCCGTTGCCGTTGCCGTTGCCGTTGCCGTTGCCATTGCCGTTGCCGTTGCCGTTGTCTCTGCCGGTGCCGGCCCCTCTCGCAGCGGGGGGAGGCGGTGGTGCCGTCCCCGGGCCGGCCCTGCCCGTCGCTCCCCGCGAGCGCCACTGCCCCCGGCCGGGGCCGGTGAGGGCCGCAGCCCCCGCGGGCCCGGCGAGGCGGCATCGGCCCTTCCCCGGGAGAAGAGGGGCGCAAAGCTGCCTCAAGAAGCGGCTGCGCCCTTACTCGGCCGGGACGTGCCCCGCGCACCCAGGAGGTTACTGTCAGACCCAGCTGGACAAGAAACCTGGAGACCTCTGGGGAGCTTTAGATCCTCCAGATAATTGCTTTCTGGGTGTTTCCATTAATTTTTTATTTTTTTTTCCTGAAGTTAAACACAAAGTATTCATGTAACCTGACTGTATGTGACGCTGTTTTGGCAATACATTGTCAAACACTGTAGAGAAGCCACATATTTTTAAATAACCACATTCAGATGAGGTGGCAATTCATAAAATATCTGAGACACTGCAATAGATGTGTGGAAAGATCACTTGCAAATCATAAATTGTGCAAAATTGAGTGATCATGTGATACAAACATGGTCACTTGTACAAATGCAAAGGTAGATATGTACATAGACACATATACTCATACATAATTATAATTTGTACATTTTGTTTAGAAAATCATACTGATAGAAATGTTACTTTTTAAATATTCTAGGTAATAGCAGTGTCAGCAACTTATATTAAAAATAAGCTTGAGAGAAATAATCAAAATAAAAATCAAACACATCCTCTGGCATCCTTTGTAAACATGCCAGTGTGTATTTTCTTCTATTGCTGGCAATGGAATTTCAGAAAGCAGCTACTCACTTCATATACTCTTTGGAGAATATTACCTAGCCATGTGTGCCTGGTAATAAAAATTAAATGCTAAATTTCAACCTTTTAAATTCAAGTAGACATGAAATCACTTCATTATCCATTCTGGAGCAAGTGCCTGATTGTACCTGAATTCCAAAGGAGATTTTGTCTTTGCATGTGCAAAAGGCCTACGGCTTTGTTCTCTGTAGGACCCACAGCCGGGAACTGAGAATTCACCATCTCTGACAGACCTCTGCTGCAGCACCACTGTTATGAGCTGTGGCTTTGGTACCCCTAGCCACCTCAGATAAAATTCTTAATTTTAGCTGCCCAGAACTTGCTGTAAGATTGGCTTATTTTAAAAAGAAAGCAATAAGTTTTTGGAACTTTCTAAAAATCTGGTCATAGTTTATAAAATACCGCAAGCACTACCCAGCAGTGAGGGCTAATTAGCATGATAATTAGCATTGCACTCTGAACCTCCTAAACAAAGAATGAATTACAAGTTTCAGTCCTCAAAACCACATTTTAATGACAGTGGCACAATCCACAGAGTAGAAAATAATTAAAGGAAATGGGACACACAGCTCCACAATGACATAATTACAGGCCTTATTAAAAGAGATGTGCTTGAGAGAAGCTTCTTTAGATACCACAGGAACACTGCTGAGTATTTGTCACAGCTCATGACTTCATCTGCTCTAAAGGTATAATTGAACCTTTCATTTCCACGTCAGAAATTCATTGCTCCAGTGTGTTTCTTTGTTCATTGGTTAATTTTGGCAATAGTCTGCTATTGCAAAAGCTGCAGATTTGCTGTGACCCTGTTAATATACTGTTCCTTCCCCATCCTTGTATGCACTGCTCAGTGCAGTACTGACCAGATTTGATTTCTCCAGCAATCCTTAGACACTTGCTGCCTCACACAGAAGTGGACATCAGGCAGAGACAGAGCACTGTGTGTTCAGATCTAACATTTCACTTTCCCAAGTAACAATCAAAGCTGTAACTTCATATTAAAGCCAGAATAGCTGTCATTTTAGAGTAGAAAGGCTCCTTTGGAGAAAAATGTCAGAGATGAAGCACTATTTGCTAGTAATAGTTCCCTCTAATTGCTTTTTAGGTCAGTGAATGCCCTTTCAGTCAGAAATATCTCCTTTTGTTTCCTTCTGATAAATCTTATTATTCCATAAGGAAGTCCTGCTGCATACAAATTCTTTGATAGGAACTACATCACACAATCTGAATAAATAGGTTGCAGCCCTGTAACTGTTTCCCAGAGTTATGTAAAAATATGACATCACATAGACAATCCCTGTGACCCAGGACAACTCACTCGCTTCTCTGGGACACCCAGTCCTATCTGCCTAGCAAGCAGAGCTGCAGTAGTCTATGGTATGAAGGCACTGACATCTAGTGGGCTCCAGCTACATTTCCAGTTTTTCCAAATGTTCCAAAAAATCTAACCTTGATATTAATGCATATTTAAAAGTACAATCAAATATGAATAGTTGGAGGTTGAATTTATTAATTAAGTATGACTCTTACGATAGTAGCAAGAGGAAGATTTGTTTTAATTAGAAGTTCGTGTTCACTGAGCTCTCTCCATAGTAAAAGCTCTGAAGAAGTCAATTCAAGTAAAGCAGGATTCAGCATTTCCCAAACACCACTGCAAAACACAGAAAAAATTTGCTCTGTCATGTTTCAAGGTTTTTTTTCCCCAAGTTTTTTTTTTTTGTTTTTTTTTTTTGTTTTGTTTTTTTTTTCTGTCAAGTCATACTTTCTGACAAGCAGATATAAAACGACAGGATAAGGCTTCTGATTTCCATTATTATGCTTATATGTATATGTGTATATATATGTATGTATGTGTATATATATGTGTGTATATATTTGTACATATATATGTATTTCCAAAAGCTATGTTGGCTGCAGTCCCAGTTGCCAACACAACTGCCACATGCCAGCTCAAGCTAGCAAGAAAAGATGTGCTAGTTGATGTCAAAACCATACAAATTGTGTTCTCAATCTGGTGTTCCAAATGCTCTTAAAATATTTTCAGCTTCCAGTTTCCTACATGGACACTTCATGATGTTCCATGAAGAATGTAAGTTTAATTATTCCTATGCCACATGTGGAGAAACTGTAGTATCATGTGATGAAACAACTTTCTCACAGTCACTATTAGGGAAGTGGTAAAGCTGCAAATATACCTCCAGTCATTAAACTATCATTGCATAGTAAAAGGAAGAAGCCCAAAATTTTTATTTCTATTTCCACAGGGGTAATTTCCTCCAAGTATAAGATAGCCAACTTCTTCTAAGATAGACAGCTGGAGTGTGGGACTAAATTATTATCCTTCATGCTCCAGGAAAGGACAAAGACCATGAAAACAACATATGCTATACCTAGTCCAGTTCCCCAAAATATCAGGACTTTTGCCTACTGAATGTTTTGCCAGTTGCTGCATGCAGCCCTAGTACAACTCCAGTTCAAGTGTTTAGGGGAAGCACAGCAACAGCTGCCACAAGGACCACTGAAAGGGTGCACCAATGTGAAAAGGAGCATGAATTGTCCCTCACATCGCTGCAGCTTCTGAGCGGAAGTGTGCTGTTGAGAACAGCTGCTTTCTGGCTCTGTCAAATCCAGTCCCCACATTTTCCATGAAAGCCTGATTGTACATAGGCCAGGCAGCTGGCATTACTGATTTTATAATCTTTGCCTGGTTATTATCAAGCTAAGCTTACAGTTGTTAATGTTGGCAAAGAATCTATAGACTCACACACAAACAAATGCCCTTACCTATTTTAGTAAAACAAGTTTTGATTATTAAATAGAGATTCTGCTCCTCTTATTTTTATATGTATTTTCAATACATCAATAAATGGTAAATCAAATTTACACACATTTATCTGCAAAAACTGGTTCCAGGATTGCTACTAATAGTAGCAATCAAAGTATTAGCTGGAGTTCTGCAGGGTTGTGGCTGGTGCCGGTTGTGACTTTGCCAAAACTCTTAATTTCCCATTGCTAAACTGCATTAAATGATTACATAAATATGTTAAGTATTAATAAAAATATATTATGCAAATATATGCTTCAGTTACATAATCATGAGTGGGAATAGAAGCGGTGTATATACACACAGTGACACAATATGTGACCCTAAGTGTATTACAGAACTAAATAGGTATGAATTCCAAGAAGGGCACTACATTATTGGGATTAGATGTGCTACCAGAGTGTGTTTGTTTCCTTTAGAGTGTTTTCACAGGATATAAACTGACTTATGAAGGCATTTCTGGGATTGTATTTTTCAAATCTTTGACTCCAAAGCCTTTGGCGTAAACACTACCTTCCCATACTGTCTGCAGTACTGGGAGTCAATTGAGAATCATTTCAGTTCTAAGCTATTACTCTTTAC